ATCAGTTTTTATTTTTTTTACGACTTTCTGACATTTTGATAAAAAGTTTTCACCAGCATTTTTTATTGAATATGTCTGCCTACTTACAGTATTTTTATAAATCTTAATATATGTTGATAATAGAACAAAAAATGTACCGAAACATGAGCCGGTATCGTTAATTTTGTAGAAAATGGCTAGGGAAGATCCTTTTTACAATGTAAAAAAAACTATTATTTTCAACAAAAAATTTACCACCATTTGAAGATAAATAACCATTCTATACGTTGTAGTTATTATTTATATTGGATTTGGTTTAGTTTTGTCACAAAATGTACCGAAAAACCGCATAATTTGGCCCGATTTGCAAACGCACCTTTAAAGGATCGACATAAGGCGGATTTAGTTTTGTTAAAAATGGCAAATACACGAGAGATTGCTCCCGACGCAAATTTGGGAGAAAAGTTAGCAGCAAAGATAGTAAGCAAAGCTATGCATTCAAAAATTAAAACTGAGGCTGGCCTAAATAATGGCAATAGTAATAAAATGTCTCCGAGAAAGTTGGGGAATGAATTTAAAAATAAGTTTAAGAATATCATTACAGAAATGAAAAGACGTACTCGTATGCAAAAATTAAAACCAAATGGTAATGTTGACTGTCCGGAGCTACTGAGTAAGTTAGGATTTACAACAAGAGGCACCCTCTTAAGAAAGCCTCGCTTACTCCACGTCCCGCATACCCGGAATAAATACAGGCAAAATTCTTTTATGATACGTGCATGCAGAACTTTTAATGACATTTCCAATAGCGTTGCCTTGGATCTGTTTAATACCAGTGTTTCTCAATTAAAAAATATTTTAGCGCAAATATTCTTTTGTTGAGTGTTCTTCTGTTTGATTTTGTTAATTTACTGTATTTTTCTTAATCGATGTTTATCTTTTACAGACTAGAATTATTATTTTTAAGTTCATATTGCTATAGGTGAAAACTTTTAAATGGCCTTCTATTTGTTATTCATTTATTTATTGTTAATGTCAGCTGTAAGTTTACCAAAAAGAATAAAATAAAATAAAAAATAAAATATGTAACATATGTATACCCAACAAAGTTGTCGCTTGCGCTGAGGTGTCAGTGTGCGCGCGCATCGTTACAACTTCATGGTGTCGTTTTTAGCTGTCGATGTGTGCGCGCATCGTAATAAAATCACTCTCATAATTTTTCACAAACGCCCTAAAAGAAGTATAACTTCAATAAATATATATTAATAGTAGATATTCTATTTGTGAAACTTTTTGTCTAGGTGGTCTTCTATTTTATTAAGCAATAACTACTGCCGTGTCACTTGGGATATTCCCCATGAAGTGTGTAAAAACGAGCGGTGAGAAGAAAGAGCCTTGTGGGACTTCTACTTCTAAGACGCCTTGAAGGCCTCGTTCACTCTACACGGTACTCTACACGGTAGCAGAAAGATCAGGTGACATCAGGTGGAAAACGAAAACCTAAAACTTATTATTTAAAATAACAAGCATATGTTTCATAATAGATTTGGAATGGAATGGAATTACGAGAAGTACAACTCTGATTTATGTAATTTTTATATGAAATGTTTAATATCTTATACCAGTCAAATCATCTCAGTCAGGTTTATTGGTATTTAATTATAATTTACTTGTAAGGTCGATTCCCTGATTACTTGAGTATTAAAATTTCTATGGGCCCAATGTCCATTAACCACCGTCAGTTGCACTATGTGCATGTTTGTTACCCTAACTCGTATAAAGAAAATTAAAATGGCTTAATATATTAACAAAATACTGAAGTTAGTAGCATTAGCCCCTTGTAGACCCTGGGCACTGCTTCCACTTAGAAACTTGTTAGTAATACATCGGTTTTAAGTACAGACATATAACCTTTTTAAATGTCATAATGGGCAAAATTAATCAAGTGGAATGAAAAAAATAAGTTTATTAAAGAATAAGGGTAACAAACCAGTACTCAGTTCCTCTGATAAGTGGATTCTATGGCCCATAAACATCTCATCAATTTTCGATTAAGAATCAAAATTCAGATGTGTAAAGACTAAAATGAAATGCTTCGTTTTTAATGAAAATGGGAGACCATTTCTTTTTTTGGTTCTCTACACTCAGCATACGAAACATTTTACGCTGGTATCATTTGAGAACGTGGTTCTTCCCCGGTCATACCGAACCAATCACATCATAACTATATAGATGCAGCATGGCCCTGCCACGTATAAACGTACCACGTGTAAGTAGCACTATTTAGTAATATAAACCGAATACACGCGTAGTATAATTTTACTAATGATTGTAATAATGAGAAAATTATATTAGAGAATTATGTACTAAGTGTAAAACGTGTGCTAGTATTTTACAATTAACCATAAAGCGGATAATAAATTTATTTAATTACATGACGTTAAACCTTCAAAGCGATTTCTAATATAACAATTTAATATGCAAATACGTCCAAGGTAATTACACACATTTTGAAGTACTGTCGCTTCACCTAGTTGTCCTTTCTCCCATAATAGATTGGACATTAATCCGGTTCAACGGGTGGCGTGAGAATATCAAATTCACATTTGATTTTGTGCATGGACATACATAAAAAAATTATTAACAGTGTGCTTCTAGAAATATTGAAAAATCCTAAGCTCTTTAATTTGTAAAAAAAAAACAAAGAATAATAGTACTAAAATTAGCAGGTAATGAAATAAGTAAATTCAATATCTAGGAATGAGCAAGGGAAGTCCAATCAGACAATTTTTACCTTATGTAGACTGTTATTTATAGTATAAGGATTATTTAGTCCAATGCCTTAGGCCTATATATATTCCACAGTTTGGTATATATTCTTGAGCCTCCCTTATTTTTAAGAAAGTTTACGGTGCTGTTTAGTTTTTACGTTCTGTAAACATTATCGGAGAAATTATCTAGACGAGTTAAAATCTTTGGATTATTTTTGTTCGGTGCGATACGAATCAATTTTACATTAAAAAAAACATCATGTGTTAAGATACCCAGTCATAGTACGGTTTTGTATAAAATAAAAACTCTGAATATGTCTGTATTTTTTTTAAAGTTTTAATGTAACTTAGTGTTCTTTATAATTTTATACGTGATAGAGTCATGCTGCAACTATATTACTGGTATAGTTGTAGTACCAATGGGTCGGCTCGATCGGGAAAGGACCATGATCTTACAGGATAACAACGTTAAATAGTAACTTAACGCTGCTGTGTTTTGTATGGTGAGTGTAGAAAACCGGAGACCCTTTTTACTAGAAAAGAGGCATTCCATCTTAGTCCTCACGGGTGACAACGTATTTGCATTTTGATTTGTAATCGAGGATAGATGTAGATGTCTATGGGCCACAACACCCACTTACCATCAGGTAGACTGTGTGCTCGTTTAACCTTATCCTATAGAAAAAAATTATAAAGTATTCACATAGTTGAAATCAATACTTCAGATTCTTTCTAGATTTTAGTGACTGTTTTTTTAGTAATGATATTGGGTTGCTCGGAAAGTAATTTCAGTAAAATGTAAATGAAAGACGATTTTCTAATAATTAATAAATATTTTTTAAATTGTTCATTCTGGTCCAATACCTTATGCCATCTTTCTGGAAGTAGCATGATTCCACGCTCATAAATTGTTTGTTCTTTGCTGGAAAAAAAACTGATGTAGGTAATTTTTGATCTCCTCATTTGAAGTAAAGGATTTACTATCTAAAAATTTTTGAAGAGATCCGAATAAATAATAATCACAAGGTTCCAGATCTGGAGAATATGGTGGGTGCAGCAGTATATCCCTTCAAAGTTGTTAAAGCGTTTGACGAGTTAAGAAAGTTGTATGAGGTATCGCATTATCTTCGAAACCTTTTCTATTGATAACTTCTGATCTTTTCTGTTTTAGTAAATCATTCAATTTGTCCAGGTGATGACAGTGTACTTAAAAATTGATCTTTGTGTTGTTAGGTAGAAGCTCAAAAAAACTAGTTTCTTTGATTTGGCTTATCTTTTTTACTTCATGATCTCGTGCGTTTAATTTTTGACAAAAAATGTAAATCTATAAAGGCTTCTATATAACATAAAATGTTCTCTCGTTTATATATATTTGTAAATGTACAAGCTGTAGAGTTTGTTTCAATAAAAAAAAATAGTCCACTCTTGGAAAAATACTAAATTACTTACCGAACCACCAATTACATTAAAGCACACTGTGACACATAGAGCAAACTGAACGATATTATTTGTACTGCGCTTTAAAGTTTTTGATAATCAGAATACCAACATAAAATACCAGCTTAACACTGCTGTGTTTCGTATGGTGAGTTTAGAGAACCGGAGACCCTTATTACTAGAAAAGAGGCATTCCATCTTAGTCCTCACCGGTGACAACGCATCTGTATTTTGATTTTTTTTTTGAGGATAGATGTTGATGTCTATAGGCCATAGCTACTACTTACTATCAGGTGGACTGTGTGCTCGTTTGTCACCCTATCCTATAAAAAAAGGAATTAATATGAGTCTTTTACTTCTATGTATAAAAGTAGTGATGCCATGCTGCGCCTCGGTTGTGTTAGAGTACAAGTAACCTAAACGAATTCTATACCAACATAGAACTAGCCAGCTCCACATACTTAAAAAAATAAAACAAGAACGATTAAAATATTCTTCAAAATTTATTCATTATAAATTTCTAAATACAAAATATTTTTTTGTTTTTTAAAAAAATTACCCCCCCCCCCCCCCCCACACACACACTCGGTTTTTCTCGTGTATCATGGAGGTAGTTAACAAACATAAATTACACAAGAACAAACATCTAGACCCTCAACAATTATTTGTAGGCCATACAAATACTTGTTCCGAGCAGGTAAAGAAAATGTTATTAAACTGAAAAAATTAACATTTAATAAACACTTTTATACAATTACAACACGAATAGAAATACGATTTTACAAGAATATCATCTAAGTGCATTAAAATATTCTACACAGAAAATCCAACAACCGTTTCGTAAGTCATAATCAATATTTTATAAAATATATAAAGATATAGACAGAATATACTGTACGTTATTATTTTCAACCAGAATTGTCTTTTAATCGCCTGCTCTGTACCTAGAAGACCGTCTTTGATTATATACTTGCGAACGCCGAAAACCCAAATCATGACCAATTGCCTAAAGTCTACGGTTGCCATATTGCAGTTGAAAACTTCTTGGTCGTTTTTCGACATATTATTATAAGCCTTAAGAACATTGTTGTCTTGGAATTTCCAACTATTTGTCATATAATAGCTTAGCACTGTTGATAGTTTGTAAACTTTTTTATAGATTTTTGAAAGTCTGAAAAAAAAATGTTTAATTAATGTACGTATGGAAAACAATATAAGAAATAAATTTTAACTACTTACATTGGACGCTTATTCAATAATTTACAAGCACTATCTACAAAGAATGCAGGTATGAAATGCAAGAGCACAGTACATATTAGATATACGACTTCGTGTGTTGTTTCTATTACGAAACAATACCAGACTGTACGTGACGAAACTAGGTTCCTCGCATCTGTATTTAAAACTTCCCTCAAATCTCCTGAAATGAAATATAATACATAATATAAGTATATACTCGTATCATCGGTGTTTCTTTGACCTTCGGACAGCTGCCGATTACTAGTAAAAGGTGTGACCTGCATATGGTATTTTGCAGTGCTATTTGATATGTTATTGCCCACAGCCTACATTCAATTTAATAATGGAATTAACCTTTAGACATAACTGTATAATACCCCTTCGATCAAATTTACCAATTGGTATTGTTGATCGAAGTAATACCCGGTCGTTAATATTACACATTGAGCTTTAGAAAAGAAAGTCGTCACTTTGAAAATTTTGCGATCAAAAAAAAAAAAACTTGTACAATGACTGACAAGTCAACGACAAAGACATAGGAGTCCAATCACAATATCAACAATTTACATAGCTGTACATATAGCAAAGCCATAAAAAACAAACGTAAAAATGTTTTCCTTTATAAGTTAAGCTAGATAAAATAATAATCATTCCTGTGAAAGAAAATTTTTATTGAAGCTTGGTCGCCCAAGTACTGTAAATTTAACAACCACAATAAAAGAAGATGTATTATTTAAAGTCGTTTCTTTTCTTTTCATAATAGGGGTTAAAATATAAAGTTGCGGTGTTAATTGAGTATTGACTTTGAATTAAAATTAAACCTGCATGGTCCAAGACTCATGATTAAAACTTTTCTAACGCAAAAACATAGACATTCTTAATTCAATTTTTTTTTGACATTCTTTTGTTTGACTTTCAATTGATTTTACATTCAATATTTGAGTTAAAAATAGAGACCTGAAAAGTAATTTTAACTACTAGTTCTGAAGTGGTTCTAACACTGCCCAAACAGCTCGCAATAGCAATGCTGTGTTTGGAGAAGATACTAGGGGAACGCGTTTTGCGTTTTTGGTGCAATGGCTGAACCCTAGTCAAATATCCGAATAAACAGTATCCTAAAGCAAAGCTCACCTATATAAAAGTAATGGCACTTGTTTAGTGGTTATTTTACGGTAAAATTTACCAAAGCATTTTGAGATTTAGTGTATTAATAGCCGATTACCATTTTTTACCTTGTTTGGAATTTTCCTGCAAGGAAATAAAATTGTTCTCAGGAAGCGGTAGAAAATTTGTTCATAGACTTTGTAGAGTCCAGATCTCATCTCATTGTAGAGTCAAATCATACCTTTTCTATTGATTAATCGATTGATTAAATACATTTTTCTTAAATAAAATATTGAATTTTATAAAATAATTCGTCATTTTCATACTTTAACCCCTAAATTCTTTGGTTATTTTATAGACAGAGATCAGTAAGCATGCAGCAAACAAGTAAAATGCTGGCGTAATTAAAATATTACATAAAATTACCATTATGAAGAATAATTTATTTTAAACTTACTCCAAAGCATGGGACTACGATTGTTAGTGACGTTGTAAATCTTAATATCGTCTTCGTTGGTCTGCTGTTTTGTAGTTTCCCAACCAGCAGCTATTATTGTATTAACGACAATATCTACAGGTACCAAACTCATGACTATTTCTTGTTTTGCTTTTAAAGTATGCAATATACCAGTTGCTATGCCCAAAATAATCTAAAAGAAAAGAAATTATAAACCAAGATTTTTATGTCTTTATCGCATACACTCTTTCATGCTCAGTGTTCTCTACTAACCTTTAGTAAAATGCATTCATTCTAAGTACATAAAGACAAGACCATAGTAAGTGAGCTTTTTTCTTTTTCTTATTTACTTAAAAAGTACTATTTATGTTGAAATAACTAATTTCATTCGTCAAAAGCTATGAGAACTTTACCCATTGTCACCTCTTACTACGTAGTAAAAGAGAAAATATATGCCACTGATCTTAGCAAGCAAATTTGCAATGGCATTACCACACTGACCAGACAGTTATCAAAAGTCACTATTACCCGTCTTAATAATTTTTATTAGGTATATGCGAAATTACGATAAAAATTTTTGTTTCTTCAGTGTTACATTAAATTTAATTAATACTATAACAAGCGTGTTAACAAGCATAGCAAGTATAATAAAATCTCTGAGGGAGGCTTATATTCAACAGTTTTTGATAGGTTGATAGGCCATGTAGTGGCGGGTAAGAATACCCACTATCCCATATCTTCCCGTGGGTGTGATAAGAGGCGACAGAGAGAAACTGAGGCAGAACATGGCCAGTAGCATCTTTCTGATAACTGCTAATTACAATTAAAAAAAAAACTGCGGTTGCCAACCCGCTTCCCAAGCGTGGCAACTATGGCAATATACCTCCCATGAAGAGAGTTATAAAAAGACGGCCCCCAGTCCCCGGCGGCTCCAATATTCTTGGCTACAGTGGCGACCATAGTAACGGTGGGGCAGGGGGTGCTAAGAAGCTCAGGTGGAAGTTTTTTGTTATTTATAGGATAGGGTGACAAACGACCACATAGTCAGGTGGACTATGTGGTCGTTTGTGGTAAGTTATTGCTGTAGACCATAGACATCTACATTTATCCTCGTTTGCGAATGAAAATTCAGATGCGTTGTCACCCGTTAGGACTAGGATGGGATGCCTCTTTTTCAGTAAAAAGTTTCGATTGCAATCTAAGACCACTCGACATAGCAACATATAACGCCCGCACCCTGAAGACTTTTTTTAACTTACTAGAAGGTCCTGAAGCTGAAAGAGGAGATGGACAAGTTATGCTCTAATATTATAGGTTTATCATAGGTCCGAAGAGGGGGGTCCCCCCCCCCTCTAATACGGACACGATAATCGTTGAATCCACAAATCCTTCGTTAACAACGTTGTAAAGATTGGTAGTGTGTCGACTAGGGTTGTGTAATTTATACTCAGATTCACCAACGAAAGTAGCTGTAGGTCATAAAGTTTTACACACCATTTTCGGCACATCTCGATGAGGAGGTGGAGGAAATATAGGAGGATATATCTAGAGCCATGCAGTCCTCAAAAACCCACTATACGGTGTTAATGGGAGACTTAACGCAAAACTAGGCACAATAGAGAACAGTGAGCTGAAGGTAGAGAAATTCGAAACAGGGCAACGGAACCCTGGGCGCCAGCAGCTGACTGACTTCATGGAGAAAGAGGGACTATTTACGATGAACTCTTTCTTGCAGAAGCAGCTCTACAAAAAGTGGACATGGTCGAGTCCCCACAGTTCGACAAAAAAGAGATAAGCTTCATTATGACGAACAGACGGCAACTTTTCAGTAATATCTGTGATCGATAGCGTAAGAAAATAGCGATTACCAAATGTTAAGAGCACACAGAACCTAAACGTTAAATTATAGCTAATTTCTGCAAGACCCGCCGCAGAAGAACACAAAAACTTTCCGACCACACTCTTTATCTAATGGCTGTTAGAGGGAGGGGAAGCTGCAGTCTTCAGCAGATTTGACAGCATACAGGCAACTGAACAGACAGATCTCCAAATGCATTTGACTGGGCTTACGCCACTTTAATACAGTTCATATTGAAGAAGCGATCGAGCGGAACTAAGGCTCCCAAATCTGTTCCAGAGATCTGTCTGCGAGAAAAAGCCCTGAAGACCGAATGTGGCAGCTTCTTCTCCGGGACTACTGATATTTTGATAGAGATTGAGAGGTACTGTGAGCAGCAGTAACCTTGAACCGTAAAAGCAGGAGGAAATGCATTCGTTGTTGGTATTATTTCGCTAGAAGTGTGTTTGTTTCCCTTGGCATCACTCTCGACACAATGCTTCTGTGGGGCCACCATATATCTATACTAACAAGCAGACAAGCAGCTTATGCTGTAAAAAAATAGAAATCTCACCAGTGTCGAGACAGCTAGATTAGTTAATTTCACTTATATGTATCCATAGAACAATGTCTTATGGGATTTTCTTGGGAAAATGCGGCTGATTATGAAACTTATTTTGTCAGCCATAAGAGCTAAATACAACCTAAAACCAGGAATCTCTCAGAGAGAAATTTAAAGAAATAAATATATAAACTTTTGCCTCTCGGTTCATTTACGAAAACTAAATGGACGTTCATGTAAAAAAAAGTAATTCAGTAAAAAAAGTATGTATCCTCTGTAAACAAAAGAAAAAAAAACTCAAGTAAGTAATACCAGTTTCTTGACTCCACAGAGTCATTAATTAATTCATGGGACAATGTATACGATATTACAACAAAGTCCCAGAAAATACAGAATTTCTCTCTATTACCAAGTTTAAATATTTTAATAAACAATACCTATATACATATAAGGGGTTGTTATAATAAATATGAATAAATGGTTGATAATACTCCCTGGCAATGAGGTAGTCGCTTTTAGTTAGCAAGCCGTATCTTAAATAAGTTTTGTGAGTAGGAAGTTTATACAACTTGTATTTTGTTGTAAAATTTTAATTTAAAAATAGTCCCACTGAGGTTCTTACTGGTTATTCCCAGGACAAAGGATATTAGTAATTGTTTTACTTTTACCAGTGGTACAAGGCAAAGGTGACTTTCAATGAGAACTACTTGTAATCTACATTGAATAAGAAATTATTAAATTCTAAGAAGCAAGGCAATATTTGTAATTATTACAGTTTTTTTAGTGCTTACATAAGATTATATCGTATTTCTAACGAGAACATATTATAGAATTATTCTCCCGAAAAATAACTCTATTCTATATGTTAGATCCGAGTACAAAACCAGAGTACGAAACCTATCCAATTGCAGAGATGTGTAAGACAGGGTGATGTTATATCCCCGAAACTCTTCACCGCTGCATTGGAAGACGTTTTCAAGCTTCTGGACTGGAAAGGATACGGTATTAACATCAATAGCGAGTACATCACTCACCTTCGATTTTCCTACGATATAGTCCTTATGGCAGAATCGCCGGAGGACCTAAGCACCATGCTCAATGACTTCAATAGTGTCTCCCAACGAATAGGTCTTAGGGTGACCATGGACAAAACAAAGATCATGTTTAATGTCCATGACACACCTATGTCGGTAGTTGTTGGGAGCACTAAGCTCGAAGTTGTTGACGAGTATGTTTACCTGGGACAAATAGTCCGACTAGGTAAGTCCAACTTCGACCGAGAGGTCAATCGACGGATTCAAGTCGGCTGGGCAGCGTTCGGGAAACTACGATACATCTTCTCGTCAGACTTACCTCAAAACCTTAAAACGAAATTGTACAACCAGTGCGTGTTGCCAGTGATGACCTACAGATCTAAGACGTGGTCTTTCACTGCTGGCCGTATGAGAAAGCTCAAGGTCGCTCAGCGAGCTATGGAGAGGTCTATGCTCGGGGTTTCTCTGCGTGATAAACTTCGAAATGTGTATATCCGCAGTAGAATCAGAGTAACCGGCATAGCCCACGGATTAGTAAGCTGAAGTGTCAGTGAGCCGGCCATATAGCTCGAAGAACCGACAACGAGGAAGAAAGGTTCTCGAGTGGCAGCCTCGTACCGGTAGGCGAAGTGTAGGGCGACCCCCCATGAGATGGAGTGACAATCTGGTAAGACATGCAGGAAGTCGATGGATGCAGGTGGCTCAAGACCGTGCTTTATAGCATTCCTTGGGGGAGGCCTATGTTCAGCAGTGGACTTATGAAAGGATGTAATGATGATGATGATATGTTAGATGAGGTGACGACTTCATGAAACGTACAGGTTGTCGATTTAGGTGATCAATGTTCAACAATGAACTTTTGGGTAATAAAGGAAATAGATAATAATGATATTTTTTAATAAGGATAATGTATTAAACTCTCAACACCACAACAACTAAACAAGCCATTTTGTCTGCGTGTGCGCCAGTTTAACTCACTTAGAAACTATAAACTCAGTCTACAGCTTTTTATTACATAAAATTAATAATAATAAAAACATAAACTTACTCCACTTGCTCCGTATGCATTATTTGGATCAATCCAGCCAATCATTGGTTCGTGATACGAAGAAATAACTGCAAATAAGATATTTGTTAATCATAAAACTGGCGCCAGATATAGCAACAACATTTGATCATTTATTTGAAGGACTTTGCACACTTGTTTGAACACCTAATGACGCAACCTGCCAGACATGTTTTGCAAACACATCTCTCCACAGTACGTTGTAAAGTGACAATCAAGATGGATGATGATTTTGTGGATGCAGTGTGCCTGTATTTCTATAACTTAAAGTGCATTTCTCTGACTTATTTGAACATTGTGTTAGCATATTTTAATAATATGTATTGTTATAATTAACATTGTGGGTAATTAATTATTTTCTTATATCGGCGCCAGATACAGCTTTAAACATTTGAACACTTTTTTGAAGCAATGTGTGGCATGGGATTTTGAACCAATGTTCAAATAAGTGCACAAAGAAATGCACTTTTCGAAGCGGTTTCGATTTTATAGCGCTCATCAAAGCGTTTAAAGACGACAGTGATCAAGTGTTTGCATAGCCTGCCACACTTGCGCAAAGTCCAGTCGCGCGAGCGTTGTTGAGCGTGATGGTCGTGCGCAGTACGTTTTAAAAATAGGTCAAACCATAAAGACAGTAAAAAACAATCGAATGAATGTGATTTGTATGCTCGGCTTTTACCTGAAAAGTTAAAGCCCTTGGATGAAGATGACATACTAGTACTTATAAATGAAATAGGTAATCTTGTATTTAAATATTTTAATGTGTTGTTTTTTATTGAATTATATTTGCACATGTAATAAATAATGACATGCACTTAAATAATACGGGCACACTGCATCCACAAAATCGTCGTCCATCTTGTTTGTCGTATTACAACGTACTATAGAGAGATGTGTTTGCAAAGCATGTCTGGCAGGCTGCGCCAATAAGTGTTCAAACAAATGTTCAAAGTCCTTCAAATAAGTGTTTAAATGTTGTTACTATATCTGGCGCCGGCGTTCCAATAAGTCTGCGGGTACATTAATATTTTAGATTTAGTTGAGTTATTTATTTTCGCTCTTATTTATAACTATGATATAACACTGTTTAAGATAATTAAAATAAATATAAATCATGTTTTATGATTTTCTGTGCTTTTGTGGATCTTGAGAAAGCATTTGATAAGGTTGTAAGGAAGAAAATGTGGGAACTGTTGCCGGGGTATGGTGTGGATGGTCGATTGCTAAGGGCTGTGCAGTCTCTTTACTGTGACTGTAAAGCCTGTGTGCGGGTAGGACATGACCTGTCACCCATGTTTAACGTCCAAACGGGCGTAAAGCAGGGTTGTGTCATGTCTTCCTGGCTGTTCATACTGTGTCTCGACAGCTGTTTACAGAAGCTGAAAGATAGTTGTTTGGGTGTGAAATTGGGTGACATTAAAGTAAATTGTCTGCTGTATGCTGATGATGCAGTGCTTATTGCACCATCAGAGGCAGAACTGCAGGCATTAGTCACGTGAATGAAAGAGGAATGTGAAATTAAAGGTCTCCGTTTGAATGCTAATAAAACTAAGGTTCTGGTATTTGAAAGGGACGAAGAGAGAACGAAGTGTGAAATATGGGTAAATCAGGAATGTCTAGAACAGGTAAATGAAATTGTATACTTGGGGAGTACTTTTAGCCGGGATGGAAGATGTGATTTAGATGTGGACAGGCGTGTCGCTGCCGGGAACAAAGTCAATGGTGCCCTGACTGCGTTAGTCAAAAGGCAAGGCGTAGCGAAGAGTGCACGCCTTGCAATACATAACGCAGTGTTGGTACCGACTTTGTTATATGGCAGCGAAACCTGGGTATGCCAGAAGAAGCATAAAAGTAAGTTGAATGCAGTGGAGATGCGATCTCTTCGTAAAATGTGCGGCGTTACCATGGCCGACCGAAAGCGAAACGAAGAGATTCGCAATATGGCAGGTTTGAAAGATGACCTTATCACAAAAATTGATAAGGGCGTGCTTCGGTGGTTTGGGCACGTTGAGCGAATGAGTGAAGACCGAATGGTGAAGAAAATATATAGCGCGAAAGTTAATATTAAAAGGTGTCGAGGTAGACCGAGACTAACTTTCGAAGACCATGTGAGCAAATTGCTCGAAGAGGGTAGGGTCAAAAGTACTCGGATACCTAGACGTGCATGCATGAAGAAGATAATGAATCTGAAAGAAGCGAAAGAGGTTTGTAAGGATCGTGACACTTGGCGATCTGTTCTCTCTGGCTACCCCGTCAGGGATTGTGCGTGAAGATAAGATAAGTATGTTTTATAATGTAAAAACTCGCGTAATAATATCCAATTTTATTGGAAAATTGTAACGGAATCAAAGTAAATACAAGATTTGTAGTTTATTAATGATAAATTACAAACCTCTAAAATACAGAAGTCGTCTTGTGGGCTTGTGGGACAGTTTTCCAAGAACTGTTGAGTAGAGAATACGTACACGGAAGATAAATTGTAAGTATTGATAGGTATTGTTATACTTATTTTGTTATTCTGTATGTCTAATGTACATTGTTAACATTATGGATATCTCTAACCTTGTTTAGATTTTGTGATACTTTGTACAATTAAGAAAATATATGATATTAGTGACGTATTAAGTAACATTAATTAACAAATCAGAAGTGGGATATGAACTTTCATTTATGAAAAAGTGGGATCTTTAAATTATGGTCAAAATTTAACAACTTTTTTTCCTTTCTCCTTTCTCTGAGAAAAAAATAATTATACTACCCGAAGTTTAGGATATTTTGCTTACCGGCGTTATTAGTATTCCTATTAACAATTGGGACAATCAGCAGTTCCACAAGGGGTAAGCTAAATATTACCATACCTTCGGGGTATTGCAGTAGATACTTATTAACTTATTAACACGTTATTCTTATCAATGCGTTTGGAATAGAATTATTGAATTGTTAATTTTGTCCTTGTTGTTGATGTAATTCATGCAAATATTATATCAAACACGCGATGAAGATTTTAAAACTTCGTTGGTGTAGTTTTGTTGAGACCTACTAAGTGTTTGTAACTAGATTATAAAAATGTAGCTATGCGTGTACTATATTCGTGTAAGTATTTTTTACGTATAATATGCATAATGCTTATAAACATTAGTGTCGAAGTTTGACCGTGAATGAAGTCTATATACTCAGTAAGCTGTGTTTCGTTTTCAACTGCACATTAATAATTACACAGATATTTAATGTACACAACATATTTTTTTTTTGTTTATATTAGTACATATACGTTAATGTATATTAATACATTTCTTCTGAGTATTAACTTCATCTATGCTGAATCTCACACATGCGCAAAATGTGACTAAAAGAGTGTGCAGGATTCTCTCTTCGCATATAAAAAAATAAATGCTGTTATATTGAAATAATTTTTTTTTGTAATTTATCCTTTTTTTTGTGTACTTGTATTCTCTTTTCTTCTTTATTTCTATCTATATATTGTAAACTACTCGGTGCTGTTGCCCAAGTACACAGTAGTTTATCCGTCTCAAATAAAGCAGATCAAAATATCTCGTGAGTTATTATTTCTGTTTCAGTCTGAGATGGACGAACATAATAGTAAGGAGGGGTTCAACTCTCCTATATTACAACGAAACGAAGATCTAAAGCACGTACAAGGTCGACCTTCATGGCGAAAATCGAGACAACCGTTGAGATCACCAGTCCCGAACACTTTCAAGAACTTTTAGAAAAATTTACTTCGCAAATATCCGCGTTATAAAATAAAATGATGTGTCTTACCTAGTATGAAGAGCGCCTCCCGCCATCCCTTAATTGCGTGCACTATCCCCGTCACCACTAATCCCAGCACCGCTACTCCCAACACCACTACACTAGGCAAGACACACCACTGACGACAATATGATACGTGTTTCGCCTCTACATGAGGCATCCTCAGGTAATATAGACTCTACGATGGCTAACCGCTAAGCTGTCTTGTGGGCGACGGGTATAGTGCGCGCGATTGAGGGAGGGTGGGAGGTCCCCTTTAAACTGGGCAGGACACATCATTTCAGTCAGAGCCATCGTATTGTCGTCAGTGGTGTGTCTGGTATTATCGGTATTTCGTACATTGAAGTTTTTACCAAGCCAAAGTTTGTCGGAGTCTTGCATGTTGAAGGTGAGACGTAAACCTTGTTTAGAATATAGCGTGTCATTTGGGGTCTATAGATTTCATAGTGAGGGCTGGGGTAAGTTTTTTTATTTTTTTTTATTAGTAGTTAACTCGTTAGATCCAGAAGCAATTAATTTAGTAGAATATTTACTTATTGCGCGTGGTAGAATCGCTCTAGAGGAAGCTGAAAATAGAGTAATGCAAGCTTCGTAACTCAACACTTGCCCTACACCAAAATCTATACAACTTTCTGATCTAAAGCTTGATGATAGTTTAAATAAATCGGAAGTCAATCGTTTGGTAGTTCTTCTTAGCAAATATCATGTTTCGCATTCGAACTTTCCGAATTAGGAAATTGCACTATAGCCAAGATGTCTAACCGCCTAGATGACGACAAGCCTGTTGTTTACAGACCGTACAGATTGGCGATAAAAGAAAAAGAGACAGTTATGGTAACGATCAAAGAATTACTACAAAACAACATCTGCTGTCCACTTTATCACCTTACGCTAGTGCAATAGTTTTAGTAAGGAAAAAGACCAATTAATATCGTCTATGTATAGATTAATGCGCCTTAAATACCGGGTGTTTGTGAAACGCTCCCGAAAACCTTTGATCATGGGTGAGAAATAAAATCGATCCTGAGGAAAAAAATCGTCTTTTCACCACGTTTTATTAGCTTTTTTCACGCTCTATCATGTTAGTACAGCTAAATGAAACGATAATTTCATAAAAAAAACTCATGAAAATACTTAAACATAAAACCAGCAGTGGAAAACCGAATTCGCGCGGCCCGCAGCTAGCGATGGTACCACAATACCTAATAATTTACAACACGTGTCTAAATACCTGACTTATTTACTTAACCCACTATGTTGCCACTGTGCTTCTCTCCACCTAGCCACTTTATTCACAGGTTAAATAAACCAAATACCTGGTTCGATTCCCCGCTAATAAAAAAAATACTTAAATGAAATGTAACGAGGTTAGTCATGCTTTTTTATCCATCGTGTATGTATTTTCATTATTCTGATGTATTCAATTATGTACTTATTCAGATGAGTTCAGTACTAAGTTATTTAAAAAAAATTGGTATGAATCAACTTACCGATCTAAATCCTAAGTATGAGGTTCTCCAAGGCACATTAACATGTTGCCGTATTCACGAGCACTATAAACGTACCTACACATTAGGCATTATTAAAACAAAACAAGAAAAACAAAACGTAACAAGAATGTAATAAACAAAACGATTGAACTGTCGCTCACGGGCACGTAATAGTCAACACGGAACTGTCTCAAAAAGTAAAATTAATAAGCGCACGAGGCATTCGTCCTTGAAGCACTGAGCAGAGCAGCACAGACCGTAAAACCCTTACGATATTGTCAACGTTTATTTTATTTATAAGTTTAGTTGTCCCCACGACAGACTAGTCGACGAATAATGAAAAAAATAAATGACCACAGGTCACAAATTCTTTACAACTTTAGATTTAGCGTCCGGATACTATCAGATGCCAATTAAAGAACAAGACAAACATAAAACTGCGTTCATAAAACTAGAAGCTCATTTTGAGTTTAATAGAATTCCTTTCGGTCTGGCGAATGCACCAGCTACATTTCAACGCATGATGCTTCAAGATCTAGGAGAAATACCCCATGGAGAAGCATTAGCATATCTTGACGACATCATAATTCCTTCTCAGAACATTGATTAAGGGATCATTCTCTTCGTAAATTACTGGGTAATGCGGGGCTTAAGCTTAAACTCTCTAAATGCGTGTTCTTTGGCCTTTCCGTCGATTATTTAGGGTTTGAAGTTTCTAGTGAGGAAATATGTCTTGGTGCAAGAAAAATTAAAGCAATAGAGCTTTTCCCGGTACCAACAAATCAACACACTGTTAGGCAGTTATATTTAATTGGTAACGATTTTTTTGTGCTAATTGGTAAGAACTAATATGTGAGCTTATTTTCTTTGGAATAGTGTCAACATTACGCTCTAAATAATCAATATATTCAAGAGCTGTTATTATTTTACTATCGCTTGAACTTCTAAGATTAAAACTAAAGTGTGCTTCAGATGATGTAGTGTTAATACCTTTATTAAAATGTTATTCATACCCCATTGTACACCTGGAAGGTGGGAGTCCCATTTGTTATCTGCTGTGCCGATACACATTTGCTGTCAGTGTCAATTATAATTTTGTTATAACGTTCTACCTGTCCGTTGGATCTTGGGCTAGACACAGCATTAAGAATGTGCTTTATATTATATATTTCATGTATACATATATATTATATATTTCATGAACAAATGCTTTAAAGGTTTTAACAGTGGTAGAGCCACGCGACAGCTTTTGCTGTCGCACGGATGGTCCGGCTCGAACCGGGGTGGTACCACGACCTCACAGAGAACCAGCGTGAAGTAGAGGTTTACCTCTGCGTTTCGCTTGGTGAGTGCAGGCGGCCGGGGGCCCTTTTTACTGGAAATGAGGCATTCCATCTTAGTCCTCACGGGTGACAACGCATCTACATTTTGATTTGTAATAGAGGATAGATGTAGATGTCTTTGGGCCGCAGCAACTACTTACCATCAGGTGGACTGTGTGCTCATTTGTCACCCTTATCCTATAAAAAAATAAAATAAAAAGGTAGTTTTGGTAAAAGCAGTCCCACAGTCGGAAATAATACGTCTTAGAGCACCAAATATACTAATATACTCACGAATAAGTTTAATGGTTCTACTAGATTTGGTATTACTAACCGGTTTTAAGTATGCGTGAACCCATTAACCCATTAAATATAAAGTTGGCGATCTTATAAGAGTAGAGACTAATTTCAGCTACCGGTAATAGGAAAAAACTTATACCTAAGTTTCAAGGTCATTGTTAAGGTTTTTGATCATGACCGCTATGAAATCGAAGATACCCCATAAACGCGAAGAAATAATAAACATTATTCTTCTGTGGTAGCTGTTGATAAGATGGCGTGGCGGAATTTTCAGAGACCACATGATACGATGTTAAGTGACGGAAAAAGTGAATCCGAATCTGAATCTGAAATTACGTCATAAATCTTAGGGGGCTAAAAAAAACTTAATTTTTTTTGCAGTTTTGTGTTTAGTTAAGTGTTCAGGACAAGAGGGGCCTGCACTAAAGTTATAAATGTTCAGATGGTGTTCAGGATAAGAGGGGCCTGCTTTAATGTTATAAATGTTTTAATGGTGTTCAGGACAAGAGGAGCCTGCACTATGTTATAATTTTGTAATCATGGCGAAAAGAGCCTGTGGAACACGTTGAAGAGTGTTCAAAAAATGTTGTCTAGTTGTGCGAGGACACACAATCTTTCAGATGAAATATGTATTGTTGTAACTAATACTGTGGGTAATTAATTATTTTGTTACAATAAGTCTGCGGGTACATTAATATTTTAGATTTAGTTGAGTTATTTATTTTAGCTTATATTTATAACTAGGATGTAACACTGGTTAAGATAATTAAAATAAATATAAATCATGTTTTATAATGTAAAAACTCTCGTAATAATATCCAATTTTATTGGAAAATTGTAACGGAATCAAAACAAGTACAAGATTTATAGTTTATTAATGGTAAATTACAAGCCTCTAAAATAAATATGTCGTCTTGTGGGCTTGTGGGACAGTTTTTCAAGAACTATTGAGTAGAGAATACGTACACGGAAGATAAATTGTGAGTATTGACAGGAATTGTTATACTTATTTTGTTATTCTGTATGTCTAATGTACATGGTTAATATTATGATATCTGTAACCTTGTTTAGGTGTAGTGATACGTTGTAAAGTTAAGAAAATATATGATATTAGTGACGTATTAAGTGACATTAATTTACAATTGATTCAAAGTCCCGTGCCACAAATAGCTTCAAACAAGTGTTTAAATGGTTTAAAGATCTATGTGGCACCGGCATAAGATAAAAGTTGCCATATTATTAGTCTGTGTGCATAGATGCATGTTAAAGTTGTAATTTTTATACAGTTACTCGTATATATTACCTAAAGCCATGTAAAGTATCGATTCGTAGTTTTATATTTTGTATGCTTTTTTTAAAACAACAGTAGTCCATACGGACAATGTTGTAAAAATTCTTTCATTATGCACTTTAACGTATATAATATAATGTAAATTATGAATACCTATTGCTGGCCTCACAATGCATATAGGTAAATTACGAGTCTCGGTGCGAACAATTTCCTCGGCTAATGCTTTGGAGAATGAGTAGGTATTAGGCCAGTCATCCATTAGCCTGAAAATTAAATGTTTGAATTTAAGTATCACCGTTTGCAAAAAAGACACAATAGTTTAAAAATTGAAATGTTCATATACAGGTCCGTCTCAGGAAAAATGTAACTATTATCCCCCCCCCCCCCTTAGAACTACCCAATATATTCCCGTGGCTCTCATAAGAGGTGACAGATGGAAACAAATTAGGAGATGGCCAACAGCGCCTTCCTAATTACGACTAACATAAAAAAGCTGCGGTTAAGCTATAGTATCTTACTATCAGGTATTCTTCGTACTCGTTCATCATTGCTACTTCTATATAAAATAATAGTGTGTTTATTAATTATTTATTAATTAAATCTAATCGAAGTCCATTGCTAAACTTCTACCTCCCCCATAAATTACCAAAATTACCACGCTCGGTAGCCAGGTTGGCAACAACAGTCTCTTAATATTTGTAACTAATAATAATAATAATATCTTCCAGACCGATTTCGGTCACGGCGGCCGGTTTCAACAGAGACTAGCCATCTGCGTGGATTATAGTGCCCAAGTGTATGCGCAATCACAGTTGCACTCTATTCCCTCACTCTCATAGTCCTTTGGGCCTATTATCTAGTTTGCCTTTTTCAGTTTCCCTTTGTGGCCTATAGCGGATATAAGGTAGTGGATTCTTTTACGCTGCCATTACACGGCTTATACAGCAATAGTGTGTAAAGTAAAATTATTATTTATTTGACAATTAACATACTCTTGGGCGATGGAATTTAGGTTCTTTTCATCCATGTTTTCAGCCAGTTCTATCATGACATTAGGCGGCATCGGACTTTCATAAAATTGCTCTTTCACCGCTGAATCAACACGACTTTTGGTGGCATGGGAATAAGCAGTTGATACATGAACTATAGACCTGTTATAAAAATAGGTTATATAGGTACATATTAAATAAACAATTATGTTATATTGTGAAGAATACGACGCATTTTTTTCATTTTAAAAAACGTTACCCCCACATAAGGATTTGCTCCTGTGACGTGGAGGCAGTTTACAAAAATAAATTGCACAAGGACAAACATCCAAACCCGGAACAATTATTTGTAGGCCATACAAATACTTGCTCCGTGCGGAATACGAACCCGCAGCCCCCAGCGTAACAACTGATTGCTAAGCCACTGCGCCACGGAGCCGTCAATGAATAAAACTTATTTTAAGGTTTTCAACTGTGTTCAAATCCCGACATTTCAAATATTTTAAAGTATATATGTGATCACGGTACGACAGTAAAATAAGTTTTGGCTGGTCACTAAATTCCAAAGAAATCTTAATTGTAAACGTTTCTATTTTAATATGCGCATTGCAGGATGAAGCCTCCAGATCACAGAGCTATACGATTGCACAATACTTCTTACCAATCTTTTATCTTCCCAGAAAACGCGATATGAAATCGTGTACAAATTGCATAAACATTCACATATCACAGAAAATTTTAGAAAGAGATATATTACAAATACCAACCACGTTTAAAAATCCGGCAACACACCTGCAATTTTCCTGGTGGTGCAGTTGTTCATGAGTGGTTGTAGTTACTTACCATGAAGTGAGCAGTTTTTAGTCATATGCCGAACAACATATTTTTTCAGGCTGCTCACACGTTATAGAAGAGATATGTAAATGATAATAGTACTCAACTACGTAATTCAATTTTTAACTTTTTCTTTATTCCGTTGTACGGATAAACGGAACACTTATGGTATCTCGATGCATGAATCACTCATAGAATATGCTTGTTGTTAGAGGTTTTTCTCTGAGAGGGTTCCTTAAATAAATTTTGCCATCAGCTACTTCCCAAATACAGACATAAAGTTAAAAAATCGCATTTTCGACTTTAAGAGTTTCTTTTGGAGGGTGAAAAACGAAAGTTTTACCGTCTGAGGTATCAAGTCTTCATTTTTCTTCGATCTTTTACTTACTTTTTGTAAAATTATTTAATTTATCACTATCCCACATATCTGATACAATATCTTTGAGAAATGATACTAAGATAAGATGAAAATAGATATAAGGTATTAGTGGGCTAAAGGAAAATTATGAGAATTAAGTTTTTTATCGCATATTTTCAAATATTTTTCGAGATAAATGCTTTAAACAATGCTGTCCGCTGTGTAATGTTACGATCATAATCTTGGTGGGGAGTGGGCGTAACATTTATTGTGCACTTGACCGATTGTATTTTATTCATAACTCAAAATATTTGTTTACTTTATTAATTTATTAAATTTTAGTGATAGGTTGTTAGATAACGCAATTATGCATATTATATTAGTCATTCAATTATTAATTTGTTATTTTTCATTTTATTATTAAACAATAACTTTATTTAAATTTCTTAATATATGCAATATAAAAAAATTATACTAAAAATAAAACTAAAACTAATAATTTATTTATCATACAGACAAAGCTGTCCTCGCTGAATCGCTATACTTAGCCTTTGAGCGAGAAAAGAATCAGCCATCTTATCACCAGCAGCAACGACCAGTCGCGGATGGAGTTCCTTTAGGAACTTCACCGCATGTGGACCCCACGGACCGATAGTCTCTACATCAAGTGGCACAAATATGTAGTCATCTCTCAGAGACTCATTACCTAGTTCAGCTGCCTCTGAACCTCTGCCCCGGGCTCTAAACGAGATATCCCTGAGATGAGAGGCCGCCAAAGTGTCTACGCAAATAGCATGCCACATTAGGTCTTTACCTCTCTCCTAAGGGACCAGTGTCATATCGTCTTTATTATTTCAAAATTTTTTTTTCATTGTATCCTTTTATAATCCATTTATTTAAATAATATTATTTTCAAATTTTTAAAATTAATTATTTTTAAAAAGATTATATTTTTAAAACTATACTTTCACATATTGTAGTTAATTTTTAATTTTAAAACAAATGAATTGGAATACTTACCGCAAATGTTTACAAGCTCTGGCTAAATGCAATATTTCCCTGGTTCCACGCACATTGGTCAGGGTAGCTTTTTTAATTGTTTCGTCAAAGTTGACCGTTGCGGCAACGTGGAATATAATATTAACCTTGAATTTACAATTAAGTTATAAGATAAGTATAAACATTAAACACGAAATTATAAACATCCTGATCCACTGCTGAACATAAGCCTCTCTCATCGTAGGAAGGCTTTAGTAGTTACCGCAAATAGCAGACGGACTGACTATCGTAGGAAAAGACGCTTTGTACCTTCGACACTGATTTCTATCACAGCTCTAGGGATTTTTTTTATATAATTATAAGATGGGTTCATCTATGCCATCTATCGAAAGCTACAAGATCTTCTGGCCCTTTCATAAAGATACATCTTACGACACTTAGTGTTTTTTAAATGATTAATCTTATTCGATACTGAATCACTCAAATGATAAGTAGGGTAAATTAAAATTCTCGGATGTTGCAGTTGTTCATAGGGGATGGTCTATCAGGAAAATTTGATTTAATGTGGGCAAAACTGCGGGGTGGAAAGTTAGTAAAATATAAAAAAAATTATAAATATGTTTGTGGGCTGGATAGGCACAGATAGAAGAGGCCATTGGGAGGAGGGAGGGGGGGGGGACTTTTAATAGTTAGCCTCTGGCTGACGGAACTTTAAATCACTGGCTGCAGGTGTCTATGGACTGCGGTAGCCACTTACCATCAAATGGAATGTAAGTTTGTTTGTTATTTTAGTATTCAAAAAGTATGAAACCGTGTGCATCTTATTTAAAACGAAAAGAAAACTTATTATTAAAATAAATCGTACAGTTCCAACATTCGTAGTCACGCCGGTTGTCATTTTATTTTCTAAAATCTTCACGCTTTAGTAAAAAATTATTCGGCAATTGCAGAGTGCGAGATAACGTTTTCATACCTGCACACCGTACTTTAAATCCTTAAAATCACATTACATTACCTACCTGTTCAGCTAACGTGTTCCAGTCGGAATTGTTAAGACCAAGTCTAACTTTGCTAACATTTCCTTCCATTGCCAATACATTATTCACGAATTCTGGTTTATGTTTGTGCAGACTATCGAATACCTGTTAAATTTTGATTGTTTAGTACATGAAATTAATTATTAAAATATAAATATTAACTGTAGAAATGAATCGGATACAAACCGGATCCATTAGAATATCGTTCGCCCGTTGCTGTGCATTTTTGTCTTTCTTTGATCTCAGCAATAGAAATACTTTATTGACATTGCAAGACCTTTTGAAAAGAAACAAAATATGAATATCACATTAAATTCACATCATAACAAAAATTTAAGGTAATATCTCAGATATGTAAACGAGATCGATTTCAAATTCATCCTATTAAAAGAATCACATCTGGGCACAGGTGTTTATTACTAAAAGGGTTTTGGAGTAAGAAAACGTCCGACTTGCTGCCTTATATATATATTAGTGGACTTATCATGTCCTTGAAATATTTTCTTCAGATCTCAGACATCCACGTTTACACACTATGTTGTCCTACACCGCTGAGCACGTGGATCATCAAGGTTAGAAATAGTGATCAACAATTTTAATGGTGCTGGCGGGGATCTAATTCGAGATGCTTGCGAACTTTGAAATGTAAAGTAAGTGCTTATCCCCTTGAGCCACCACATTTATTAAATATTATTGTGTAAGGACGATTATTTATTTATTTAAGCTAGATTTATTTATTTTCTTGAAAAGGTTATAATATCTGTTTTTGTTGATTTTGTTATAAGTAAGCCACGCTGCAGCTATATAATGGTTGTAGCATGAATAGTTCTGTAGCTATATAATGATTGCCGTGTAGTAGCGGTTAAGAATATCCACTACCCCATATCTTCCCGTGGGTGTCGTAAAAGGCGACAAAGGGAACCAGGCAGGAGATGGGCAGCAGCATCTTCCTGATAAAAACAAACTTACAATAAAAAAACTACGGTTGCCAACCCGCTCACCAAGCGTGGCAACTATGGCAAATACCCCCCTATGATGAGAGTAACAAAGAAACGGCCCCCAGGCCCTGGCGGCCCCGCTATTTCTGGCTATGGTGGCGACCATAGTAACGGCGGGGCAGGGGGTGCCAAGAATCTCCGGTGGAGGTTCGGTTGCCACCTACGACGACTCGACCTGGCAACATACAACGCACGCACCCTGAGGACTAAGGAGAAGATCGTGGAGCTGAAAGAAGAGATAGACAAGTTACGCTGGCATATTATAGGATTATCCGAAGTCCGAAGAGAGGGAGAGGACACGGTAATCCTCAAATCCGGCAACTTGTTCTATCACCGGAAGGGCGACCATCTGTCCCAAGGAGGTGTCGGATTTATCGTCCACAAGTCTCTCTTTACCAACGTTGTAAAGATTGAGAGTATGTCGACGAGGGTTGCGTATCTTATACTCAGAATGACCAAACGGTATTCGCTGAAAGTCATACAGGTTTACGCACCAACCTCGGCACACCCATATGAGGAGTTAGAGGAAATGTATGAGGAAATCTCTAAAACCATGCATTCCTAGAAAAACCCACTATACGGTGTTAATGGGAGACTTCATTGCAAAACAAGGCACAAAAGAGAACGGTGAGCTGAAAGTAGGGAAATTCGGAATAGGGCAACGGAACCCAAGGGGTCCGCAGCAGGCCGACTTCATGGAGAAAGAGGGACTCTTTATGATGAACTCTTTCTTCCAGAAGCGGCCCCACAGGAAGTGGACCTGGTCGAGCCCCGACGGTTCCACAAAAATGAGATTGACTTCGTTATGACGACCAGACGACAACTGTTCAGTTATGTCTCCGTGATCGCGAGGGTGAAAACTGGTAGCGATCACCGAATGGTTAGAGGCATACTGAACCTAAACTTTGATTTGGAGAGGTCTCGTCTAATGAAGTCAACGCTCCGTCCCCCTTGTGCTCTATTCCAAAGCCCCGAAACCTTTCAGCTCGAGTTACAAAACCGTTTTCAGTGCCTAGAAGACTGCAATGACGTGGACGATATGAATGACAAGCTTGTGGAAACTGTTCATGCGGTCGGAGTTAAGTTTTGCAAGACCCGCCGCAGAGGAACACAAAAACTCTTCGATCACACTCTTAATCTCATGTCTGTTAGACGAAAGATAAAGCTACATTCTTCAACAGATTTGACAGCATACAGGCAACTGAACAGACAGATCTCCAAATGTATGCTGCGGGACTTACGCAACTTCAATACAGCTTGTGTTGAAGAAGCGATCGAGCGGAATCAAGGCTCCAAAGTCTTTGCCAGAGATCTGTCTGCCTGAAAGAGCCAATTGTCAAAGCTGAAGACCGAGTGTGGCAGCATCATTTCCGAGGCACCTGAGATTTTGAGTGAGATTGAAAGGTTCTACGGGCAGCTGTACACGTCATCGTTGGAGCCACACGCAAGTGTGAGTAACGATCCAAGAGCGAGTCTTATCCGACACTATTCCGAAGATATCCCGGACGTCAGTCGGAGCGTGATTAGAATGCCTCTCCAGCACCTTAAAAACGGCAAGGCCCCAGGCGAGGATGGAATTACAGCGGAGCTTCTGAAAGCGGGTGGAAGACTGGTACTTGAAGTCATTCAGAAGCTTTTTAATTCCGTCCTCCATGGTGGCATTACAGGAGGCGTGGAGCAGAAGTGCGGTGGTCTTATTCCTCAAGAATGGTGACGACGCTCTCTTGAAGAACTTCAGACCGATTTTTCTTCTGAGCCGCGTCTACGTGCTGTTTTCGATAGTCATTATGAATCGTCTCGCGCGCAGACTTGACGACTTTCAGCCTCCCGAACGAGCCGGTTTCCGAAAGGGCTTTAGCACCATAGACCACATACATACCCTTCGACAAATTGTACAGAAGTCCGAGGAGTACAATTTGCCACTATGTCTGGCGTATGTGGACTATGAGAAAGCCTTTGATTCCGTCGAAATTTGGGCGGTGCTGCAGTCCCTTCAGCGGTGCCAAGTTGAATGTCGGTATATCGAAGTGCTGAAGTGCTTATACAGTAGGGCTACGATGGCTATCCGAGTACAGAACCAGAGTACGAAACCTATCCAATTGCAGAGACGTGTAAGACAGGGTGACGTCATATCCCCGAAACTCTTCACTGCTGCATTGGAAGACGTTTTCAAGATTCTGGACTGGAAAGAATGAGGTATTAACATCAATGGCGAGTACATCACTCACCTTCGATTTGCCGACGATATAGTCCTTATGGCAGAATCGCTGGAGGACCTAAGCACTATGCTCAATGACCTCAATAGTGTCTCCCAACGGATATTTCTTAAGATGAACATGGACAAAACAAAGATTATGTTTAAAGTCCATGTCACACCTATGCCGGTAGTAGTTGGGAGCACTAAGCTCAAAGTTGTTGACGAGTATGTTTACCTGGGACAATAAGTCTGACTAGGTAAGTACAACTTCGACCGAGAGGTCAATCGACGGATTCAACTCGACTGGGCAGCGTTCGGGAAGCTCGTCAGACATACCTCAAAACCTTAAAACAAAATTGTACAACCAGTGCGTGTTGCCAGTGATGACTTACGGATCTGAGACGTGGTCCTTCACTGCTGGCCGTATGAGGAAGCTCAAGGTCGCTCAGCGAGCTATGGAGAGGGCTATGCTCGGAGTTTCTCTGCGTGATAATCTTAGGAATGAGGATATCCGCAGTAGAACCAGAGTGACCGACATAGCCCAACGGATTAGTAAGCTGAAGTGGCAATGGGCCGGCCATATAGCTCGAAGAACCGACAACCGATGGGGAAGAAAGGTTCTTGAGTGGCAGCCTCGTACCGGTAGGCAAAGTGTAGGGCGACCACCCACGAGATGGAGTGACGACCTGGTAAGACATGCAGGAAGTCAATGGATCCAGGTGGCTCAGGACCGTGCTTTGTGGCATTCCTTGGGGGAGGCCTATGTTCAGCAGTGGACTTATGAAAGGCTGTAATGATGATGATGATGATAATGAATAGTTCGGCTGGATCGGGGTATGACTACGCTTTCACAGAACGCCAGCGTTCGATTTCGTATGATAAGGTAGAGAACCGGAGACCGTTTTTACTGGAAACGAGGCATTCCATCTTAGTCCTCAGGGGTAACAACGCATCTGTATTTTGATTCCTTATTAAGTATAATTGCAGATGTCTACGGAGCGCAGTATCCACTTATCATCAGGTGGACTCTATTGTCACTCTTATTTTAGAAAAGCAGTGTACGTGTAATTGTGTACACACGTACGAAGTGAAACATTATTCCTCTTTTATTTTATATTTTACAAATGTAGTTTATATAATAATAATAGGTCTTTACCTATGAAATGGCCGTTCTGCAGTACTGGTTATTTCAAATCAAAATAATTTTTGTTTGTGTGAGAATTCTAACTTCAAATTAATTTTATTTTAAACATGGAATTCTTTTTTCAAAATTATTTGTTTGTTTATTGATTAGAATAGGGGGTCATTATAGAAGCGTGCTCGTCGCGACCCCTGCCAGCCCTTTTCAGGGCTGCAATTCTACACAGCTGCGCACCCATGCCAACGAGGGTTAGGGCGTCCCCCCAAGGCGACGCACAACAGCTCGTCCCCGTTGGTGTGGAATGCAGCGCGCAAAGCGGCGATGGGGACCGCCACCCGTCACGCACAGCCCGACACGGCGGAAGGTGGAGGACAGAGTGCAGAGTTGGCACGTGGAATATTAGAGGAGGCATGAGAGATAAGACGAATGAGTTGATCGAAATAATGAAAGAAAGAGAATTAGATGTCGTGTGCATGTCGGAGAACAAACGGAAGGGCAGTGGTACTGAAGAGTTCCCTGGCGGGGCGTTAGCTCTATGGTCCGGAGTCCTGGAGAGCAAGAGCGCCTGCTAGGGAGTGGGGGTGCTGCTGTCGTCTCGGTTGGTCGATGATATGACTGAATATAAGGTTTTGAACTCAAGACTTCTCTGGGTTCGCTTTAAATTGGGACTGACGAAGTTATTCCTTTTGGCTGTTTATGCGCCGGTAGCTTCGTCGTCCAGGGCTGAGCTGGAGGAGTTTTGGGAGAATGTAAGAGTGTAAGAGAAGTTCTAGATTTGGTTAGGGGAAACGAAAGAATTATTTTATGTGGTGATTTGAATGGATGGGTCGGTACCGCTCGACCAGGGTACGAGTCGGTGCTTGGAAAGTTTGGCGATAAAATATTTAATGATGCTGGCAAGCTTATACTGGCTGTATGCAAGGAAAAGGGTCTTCTTGTGACAAACACTATGTTTAATCACAAGAAAATCCGTATGTATACTAGAGAAAGAAAGAATGAGAGAAGTATGATCGATTTGTTCCTGGTGGATGACCGACTGCGAAAACAGGTGATGGATACGCGAGTATTCAGGGATGCTGACTTGGGAACGGATCACTATCTAGTGATTACTAGATTTATGGGTCTGTTCTCGGGTTGGCGCTATCGGACGTCAGTAACAGAACCACAGTCGGTCTGTCGCATCCGAAGCTGGAAGCTTCAGGAAGCGGATACTAGGGACAAATATCATGCGAAGGTAGCTGAAAAGCTTGACACCATCGATGGCAGAAAAGAATGTGTAGAAAGAACATGGCAGAACCTTAGAGATGGAATGGTAAGTGCAGCGGAAGAAGTGTGTGGAACGATAAAAAGAGGTAGTAGTAAAAGAAGAGATGCATGGTGGAATGATGAAGTGAAAGAAGCTGTAAAGAAGTAAAAGAAAGCATGGTTAGAATACTTGGCCTCTAGTAATGATAAGAATATGAGAGAAAAGATGAAAGAAAGATATAAGCTGCAGAAAGTTCACACAAAAGCATTGATTGAGGAAGTGCGTGAAAGCTGTAGGATGGAAGCGGACGAAATATTGTCGCACAACTTTAAGTAGAACTCCAAACTCTTCTGGAAAGAGGTTGGAAGGACCCGAAGTGGTGCGACGGCCTTAAGAATGAACAAAGTGCTTTCGAGAACCAATGACGTCCTCACAGAAAAATCGAACGTCATACAGCGATGGAGCGAATTTTATAGAGAAATGTATGCGTGTGATGATCTTAGTGAGGGATCCAGGGGTAACGCCGTGACTGGTACGCCAGACCCGGACCTCAATGACACTGAGGTCATCATTATGAAAGAGATTGAACGTGCGATTTGAAATTTGAGATGTGGTAAGGCTGCGGGACTAGACAGAGTTACTGCTGAAATGGTCAAGTATGGTGGGCCTCGCGTCTGGGACAGCTTTCATCTGCTGTGCAATTTGTGGTGGCGGACGGGGGATGTCCCGGATGATTGGCGATCCGTGGGTAGGGCATGACCTGTCACCAATGTTTGGCGTCCAAACGGGCATAAAACAGGGTTGTGTCATGTCTTCCTGGCTGTTCATACTGTATCTCGACAGCTGTTTACAGAAGCTGAAAGATAGCTGTTTGGGTGTGAAATTGGGTGACATTAAAGTAAATTATCTGCTGTATGCTGATGATGCAGTGCTTATTGCACCATCAGAGGCAGAACTGCAGGCATTAGTCACGTGTATGAAAGAGGAATGTGAAATTAAAGGTCTCCGTTTGAATGCTAATAAAACTAAGGTTTCTGGTCGGGGAAAGGGACGAAGAGAGAACGATGTGTGAAATATGGGTAAATCAGGAATGTCTAGAACAGGTAAATGAAATTGTATACTTGGGGAGTGCTTTTAGCCGGGATGGAAGATGTGATTTAGATGTGGACAGGCGTGTCGCTGCCGGGAACAAAGTCAATGGTGCCCTGACTGCGGAAGTCAAAAGGCAAGGCGTAGTGAAGAGTGCACGCCTTGCAATACATAACGCAGTGTTGGTACCGACTTTGTTATATGGCAGCGAAACCTGAGTATGCCAGAAGAAGCATAAAAGCAAGTTGAATGCAGTGGAGATGCGATCTCTTCGTAAAATGTGCGGCGTTACCATGGCCGACCGAAAGCGAAACGAAGAGATTCGCAATATGGCAGGTTTGAAAGATGACATTATCACAAAATTGATAAGGGCGTGCTTCGATGATTTGGGCACGTTGAGCGAATAAGTGAAGATCGAATGGTGAAGAAACTATATAGCGCGAAAGTAAACATTAAAAGGTGTCGAGGTAGACCGAGACTAACTTTCGAAGACCATGTGAGCAAATTGCTCGAAGAGGGGAGGGTCAAGAGTACTCGGATACCTAGACGTGCATGTATGAAGAAGATAATGAATCTGAAAGAAGCGAAAAAGGTATATAAGGATCGTGACACTTGGCGCTCTGTTCTCTCTGGCTACCCAGTCAGGGATTGTGCGTGAAGATAAATAAATAAATCAATAAGATTAGAATATTTTTCATTACATTTCATCATGGATACATTAAAATTTGAGTAATTATAGAATATGAGTACCGTTGTGGCAGCAACGCGACACAAGCTGCACGCAACATCAATGACGGTTACGGAGCGAATACTACATACGAACGCACCACCTGTTATTGGTTTGCTCGCTTCCGTTCGGGAAGTCTCGACCCAAAAAATAAACCCCGTGGTTATCCAAAAAGTTGTTCAACAATAACAAATTAATGGCGATTGTGGAAGCTGATGATACTCAATCTACGGCTGAATTAGCAGCAGTTTTCGAAATTAGCATCAAACTATATTGGTACATTTGAGTCAAATGGGCAAGGTAAACAAGCTTGACAAGTAGGTGTCCTACGAACTCAATTATCGCCAGCGCATAGAGACGTGCCTTGCACTGCTCAGCAGGCATACAAACGAAGGAATTTGAAACAGCATTGTTACCTGCGACGAAAAATAGATTCTTTTTGACCATCGCAAGTGCTCAGCAAGTTAGTTGGATCCTGGTTCAGCACCAAAGCAGTGCCCTAAACGAAAACATACCATAGCATCGTAATCCTCGGCATCAACATATCGAATAGTGTGCAGTTTCGTGGTCACTTGGAAGGGAAGGCCAAATTGGCCTTTAAAAAGCTTGGCGTGCTCAGCAGAGCGAGACAGTATCTCACGCCGGCACATCGCTTGCAACTTTACAAAGCGCAAGTTCGACCTCACATGGAATACTTTTCTCATCTCTGGGCCGGGGCACCCCAGTGCCAGCTCAGAATTCTTTTTGATCGGCTCGATACCCTGGAACTGCATCATGGATGTTACGTGGATGTTGCATCCCTTTGCATTTTCTATCGAATTTACCACGGGGAATGCTCTGAGGAATTGTTCGGATTAATTCCAGTCGCCAAATTTCACGAACGCACATCGCGTCAAAATCCTCACCATCTGGATGCTTAGTGGTCCACGACTGTGCGTTTTACTAGGAGTTTTCTTCCTCGTACAACTTCTCTGTGGAATTATTTACCTTTAAGAAAAGAGCTTACACCTTTCTGCAAGGCCGGCAACGCATCTGCAATTCCCCTGGTGTTCATGGGCGGCGGTAGTCACCTACCATCAGATGAGCCGCATGCTCGTTTGCCTCTTGTATAAAAAAAAACGGCAATGTCATAGGTAAAAACCTAATATACTCATAGAGCCGTAATACTATTATTTATTCTGTGATTCAGTCCCGGCTGTGAAACGTTACAATAAAACGTCACCCGTAATGGTTCATCACCATATTTCCAAATATAGTGAATATAGTTTTTATTGTAACTATTTATATTCGAAATTCTAGTTGTTACCTTGACCTCTTCTTACCTTACCTATTTACCCGAAAGTGTAATAAAACAGTGCTAAGAAGTAGTGTATTTCATTAGAGCTACAACTTCGGAAGCTATTGCGTACAAATATTTTTATTCTTTTTAGTTTTAGTAGTCGGTTTTTAATTTTTCAATAAGAAATAAGTAAATTGATTTAATACTTTCGACACATTAATACTATTAAAAATGTTTAGATAAATTCTTTATAATTTTCCCTTAATCTATAAAGACCAAAGTTCCCTAATACAAGAATCATCAAAATAACTTACTAAGAAACTACAACAATGGAAATGTGAATTGATCATAAATAAATTAAAATATAACTGTGTCAAATAAAATAAAACTTTTTGTATTTGTATTTCTAATCTTTTACCTGAACAGTTTCTCAACTAGAAGTTTTCCGACAAAACCCGAGCCGCCGGTAACAAAGACTGTGGAGCCGGCATAAAATCTTTCTATTGAAGAGTTTCCACTTGCCGTTATCGCCGCCATCCTATGCTGACGCATCAATGCTTCCTTTTCCAGAGCAAACATTACTTCCATGTCTGTTATAATAAAAGTGAAATAAATATAAGCTCTGTATTATAAAATTATAACCGACAAAACTAAACTCCGAGCTTGAGATATTATTTATAAACACCTGGATAAGAGTTAATATTTTTGAACAATGTGATAATGAATTCTTAATTTTTTGAAACGAAGTTCCTTATCGGACGGTACGAATTTGGCGGAAGGGGGCTAGGCTATAAAAAGTGTAAGATTTTTCCGTCACGACTCGACACGGCTTTGACGGCTATAAGAAAGCGAGATGGAATAATATTCATCTCCCTCGCACTCTTTCTTATGTTGTAATGATAAAAAATATTATATTAAATGACGCTTCATTTTAATAGACGCCAGTTATTCATTTATTTGTATTTGTTAATCAATTATATAATACTTTTATCAATAAGTATATACTACGAAAGGAAGTTCGTTCCGACCGATTTTTTCATAACACTCACGCATGTTTTTTTTATTACATATTTTCATTTCATTCATCATTCTTGTTGGGAGAAGAGGTAATGTGAACAAACATCAAAATATATTGATGATCTTATAAATTAATTATTCAAAATTTAAGTTCTGATCATTGTGGACAGTTGGACCTTACATGCACAAAAACAGAAAGTTAAGAAAGATGTGCTTGTTCCAATAAATGGTCATCGCTTAGAGAGACTTAGAAGTAATATGGTGAAAAAGCTGCCATTTCTCTCATTTAAAAATAATACTAACTATGTATATGGATCATTATTTAAACTTATAAGCCTTGAATTGAACAAAATATTTACATCTAAAACACTCTTTAAGCAGTCCCAAATCGTTTAATGAGAGAGCGACAGTAGGAATCTATAGGAGTAGACTAAAGTTATATGATCTTTACAATGTAATGAAATATTTCTTACGTGGTAGAGCCATGCTGCAGCTATATTAATAGTATAGTTGTAGCACGAATGGGTCGGCTCGACCGGGGAAGGGCCACGCTCTCACAGAATACCAGCGTAAAATAGCAGCTTAATTCTGCTGTGTTTTGTATGGTGAGTGTAGAGAACCGGAAACGAGGCATTACATCTTAGAAAAAAAAGTCCCGCTGGGTTTCTTGCTGGTTCTTCTCAGGACAGAGGTATTTTCCGAACCAATGGTAAATAAAAGTGATTTTCAATAAGTATTATGTAATAATCAGTATTGAATAAAAAATTATTCTATTCTATTCTATTCTAGTCCTCACGGGTGACAACGCATCTGCACTTTGATTCGTCATCGAGGATAGATGATGATGTCTATGGGCCAGAGCAACCACATACCATGAGGTGGACTGTGTGCTCGGTTGTCACCCTTATCCTATAAAAAAATGATCATAGGGTTTCATTAAGAAAATATGTAAAAATATTCCAATATATTTAAAAGAGTTTGTTCCACAGCTAAGTCCTTAGAAATAAAATTAAGAATGCCACAAACAAAGTAAAAATTACTTGGAGTAATTGATGAGATCACACAACTCAAATTTTGAATTAACTTATAACAATAATTAACAAAATCGGATCAAAATGTTGCAACGGCTTTTGAACAATATTCAAACGACATTCCGATCTTGACTACAAAGTCACTAAATTCCTCCTCTAATGTATCTGCGTAATTACTCAAACAAAATGTAAATGTCTGCAAAAAATAATTTGCATTTTACAAAACATTATCAGGAGATATTGTAAAATATTTCAAAACTGTTGTTTTTAAGAAAACAACAAATCTGTAGGCGGCTTCCGCTTAACTCATTGCGTCTATAATAGGTGCAATCGCATCCCAACTTGCTATTATTATTTCAATACCAGTATCGAATCTGGTGTGTTTCCTGATTTAATGAAACATAGTGAAGTTATCATCTTCATCATTATAGGTCCACTGCTGAACATAGGCCTCCCCCAAAGAACGCCACAAAGCACGGTCCAAAGCCACCTGCACTGAGGAAGTCAAGTCAGTATCAAATTACTTTTATTAACATAAAATAATATCCCGAATAATAGGCATCTGATTTATATAAAAATACACCAAAATTGAAATAACTGATCGCGCGTGAAAGAAGTGTTTGTTTTAACTATAGCCATTCAGTGAGGAAATAGAGCCAGTTAGACTTATTGAATATTTTAGTTATTAGCTTCTTTTATTGTTATAAATATTTTATGTCATGTTAATAAATATTTAAAGAAAATTAATGAGATTTAAGTAACTTCGAAATACTTATTATAAAATTCCTATTTACAAAATATGGCTCCATTGAATATCAACGCTGCATCATTTCAGTTTGTAGTTGTAGCACGTGATAAGTGGTGTACTTTTTGGTGTATATTATCAACTTTCTCGCTTATAATATTTCATTCAGTTCAGTTTTTAGTTATAGCGATATAAATATAGTAAAATATGAAAAAAATTATGTTTCATATATAGTTATATAAGGTTTCTGTTTTCCATTGTTCTTACACTATATACAGACCTATTTCCGGTTTTGCCTGCCAATCGAGTCCCGGCATATTTACACATAAACTTGCGGCACAATAAAAATAATTCACTATGTAGTATAAACACTTGGGAATTATAATTAACAGAATTAGATCGACAAAACTAATCATTCGCGCAGATGTTATAAACCTTATCAATTGCAAGTGAAGACTGAAGAAAAACATGTACAAACATCACACTTATTTAAATATAATGTTATTCCTTGTACACATAATATGTCGTAACTGGTGAGCATTATCACTAATTTAATGATCACATTTCAGTGTGAATATATATCTTTATCCAAACTGAATATCTACAAAGTAAAATTCATACATTAAGATTTTGTTATATTCAAATTTATATGCAAACATTAGCATTCAATTCAAATCAATCAAACATACATTATAATAAATTAGGATCAAAAATTTAAATTTTTCGTCATCAACAGTCTACTTATTTTTATCAGAATTATAAATATCTTTATATATATAATTCTTCTGTCCGTATGTATATGACTAAACGCCTCCCAAACGGCTGGACCGATTTTGACGAAATTTTATCTGTGATTAAAGCCAGGTTTTCCAAGCGCAATAGGTAATTATGTACGTGCGGACACCGCCGGCGCGGCGCCAAAAAATAAATATAGATAACTTACCAAATGTCTTTTGTATTTCGCGCAAAATTTTTGCACAGATCTTACCTCGGCAACGTCCTGCGGGACGCTGGTAGGCGACGTGCGGATCGAAAATCACTTGCAAAATCGATTTTTTTTTTTCATAATAGAGAAAGATTTATCATAATAAGTCGGGGAGTGCACAGGACATTGGAGGGAAAGATTTTCTTTGGATCGTAAGGAAAAATTATGACAGGAGCTGAGATGTTTAAAACGTTCTTTTAGATAGGAAAGACTAGATATATTAAATAAGACGCAGTAGAGAGCAGAAAGTATATGAGTATTCCGACGAAGATGGATTGGGAGCCACTTGAGCTTAGTGCGGTATTCTGAGACATGGTCATCATACAGAGTTTTTGGAGTCGCTCAAGCTTATTAAGTTGCTCCTCGGTGATATCAAGGTAACAAATGTCAGCATAGTCGAGGATAGGGAGTAGTAAAGATTGTGCAAGCGTAATTTTGGTGGCAATGGGTAAAAAGTAATTAAGATTCCGGAGTGAAGCATAAGCTGCAAACATTTTACGGCTCACTGCATTAATTTGGGGAACCCAAGAAAGACTTCATTCCAAAAGGATACCTAAATTTTTGACAACGTCATTATAAGGGATGGGAACTCCATTGTATACAACGGGTTGTAGTTGACATTTTTTTTATTTTACAAATCATTCTTGAACTCCCAATGATAATGGATTGGGATTTTAATGGGTTCACCGTTAATCCATAAGAACGACTCCAGTCGAGAATACATGTCAGATCCTTATTGATACATTCCACTGCTTTGGGAAGATCTTCAATGGTTGTTTGTAAGTATATTTGGAGACCATCTGCATACAAGTGGTAGAGAGAAGATATTTGGGATGTAATCGTATTAATAAAGATTGCGAATAAAAGAGGAGATAAGACGCCACCTTGTGGAACGCCAGCTACTGTATCAAGCCACGAAGAAAGTCTATCTTGGAAATGAATACGTTGCCAGCGCCCATACAAATAACTATGAAACCAGGAAATTGAAGTCGGAGATATGTTAAGAGAACGCAGAATCCCTAACAAGATGTCATGATCAACAGTATCAAAGGCATTGCTGAAATCCAGCAACACCAATAATGTGACTTGATGATTTTCCATACCGTGGCGAATGTCGTCCGTGATTTTCAATAACGCCGTAATCATACTATGACCAGATCTAAAGCCAGATTGGGAAAAGTTGAGGATTTAAATGAAACTAATTTTACGGATTTTATCGCGTATATTAACTTATTTTACATTCCCGACGTTTCAAGCACTTTACAGCACCCATGGTCACGGGGGGGGACTGAGGTGTATGACGTCCCAATGTCATAGTTAACCACGGCTACCTCCAGATTAAAAATTATTAATTTTTGTTCCGATCTACGCAGTATGAACTTACAGTATCATGAAGTCTTGCAGTTGTATGCTTGGGTTGGGATTTAATTTTATTAATTACTAGCTGTGCCCGCGGCGTAGCTCGCGTATACAGGTTTTACATAAAGAATTTGTCGTTTAGGTAAGAGAATATTAAACGATTTATTTCATTACTGTATCAATAAGTGGTAACTAAATAAATTATTATCATCAAAGTTCTAAGTCGTTTATGATAGAGCTTCTGTGTAAACGACGTTAGAAATAGGCTTAGCCGGAGTGTACACAAAAAGGTTACGGGGGCTACTAACGCGGGAAAAAGCAACATAGAGTTGGCCATGTGCAAAACAGTCAGTACTGAGGTACACTCCTACAACGCGTAAAGTTTGAACTTGCGCTTTATTTACGGTCATCGCATAACACACGCTCACTGTAACTGGGAACTGAACGCGCT